GCTCTGTGGCCTAAGTGCAGGGTTAGTCATGATGGGCTATTAGCAGGTGGCTGTTGATGGGATGGACTGACTGATCCCAGTAGGGCCTCAGAGCCTGGAATTGTAAAATTTATTTTTGATCAGCCACACGTATCTGGCTGTTAAACAGTATTTAAGCTGTCACAGCTAGCCTCTGCCCTCCCCCAGCCCCATACTGCAGACGTGCACACCCCCCACCCTCTTCCAGGTGAGTCTTTCTGAGAGAGTGACACATCCCAAAGGTGAAATGGTCTAAGGGCCACCAGGATTCTTTCTAGGAAATGCAGAAGCACATATGATTTGCATACATTTGCATGCATTCCCATAGTCATCCCCTTGAGTTCTTGAAACGATTAATAGGTAAAGCCACTTCGTCCACACCAACCAATAGAGAAGCAGACACACTGACAGTCCAAGCAACTGCGACTGCTTCTTCCACGTGGGTTCTTCTAAATTAGTGTGAAATCATTGTAAGTATTACTGAAGACCCCAGAGGCTGCAGAAAACATGACATTTATGCAACAACAATAATAGTAGTGATAATAGTATCTAACGCTGAGCACTTATGTGTCAGGCACTTCTCTATGAGCTTTGAATATATTATCTTCATCTTCTCGATAATCCAAAAGGTAGGTCCAATTATTATCCCCATCTTACAGGCGAGGAAACAGGTCCACAGAGTTAATGCCACGTGGCTTGTCAGTGATTCACACACGGGCATTCTGGCTCCATTTATTTCTGTAGCAGATATTAGTTTAAGCACCTACTATGAGCCCAGATATTATTCTAAGCACTGGGGACACTGCAGTGAATGAAAAGACGAAGTCTCAGTTGTCACAAAGCATTAATGTGCATTCGTTAGGGAAAGATTGGGTTGCTGGAACAAAGAGACCCCAACATCTATTAAACAAAGAAGTGAATTTCTCTCTTGAGTAGTAATTCAAGGCGTGTGTCCCAGGCTGGTGGGCAGTCCTGCTTGAGCCACATGGTCATGCAGAAAGCCCAGGTTCCCTCCATGTCATTGCTCTAGGCGATGCCTACCCAGGACACTGTCTTCACCTGCTTAGGTGAGGCTGGGCTGCTGCCATGTCCGCGTAGCAGCAAGAAGGTAGAAGGGAGTCTGGAGGGGCCGCACCCAGTGTGCTAAAGCCCAGGCCGGAGGAGCAGCCATCATTCCCGTTTCCTCTCTGTGTGTGGAAACCTAGGCCTGGGGCCATATCCCACTTCAAGAGGGGCAAGGAATGGGGACTGGCCAGGGGCCAAGGAGGAAGAGGAGAAGGATTGGGGTGGGCAGCATGCAGCCTTTGCCATGGAATGACATCCACAAAGCAAATAAATATGTTGGGTGATGTCAGAAAGCAATAAATGCAATGAAGAAAAACAGAGCAGTGGCAGGGCCAGAGAATTGATGGGCTCACGTTTTTTAGATGGAGCCAGCAGCTCTTAATCACTGTCCCTAACTGACCCCATTACACCTGTGCTCACAGTGACAGTGAAGAAGGCTCTGGAGAGCCTCAAGCCCTTCCTGAACCAAATAAGGTCAACTTGTGTCCAGCTGAGTAGCCAGGTGCTCTGGCCAAGCAAGAATTTCCTGGACTTGACCTTCATGGAGCGTCTCGTGCCTTTATCGAGGTATTTTTATTTATGAGTCATTTTAATCTCATTAAAAAAAAAAAAAACTCTTTAAGGTAGCTAGGGCAGGTGTTGTCATCCCCCTTTGATGAGAGGGGAACTTCAGGCTTAGAAATGTTCAGTTCAGTTAAAAAATAAACTGTATTGAACTCCTATATGCCAAGAAACTGGAATAAAAGGGTAAATAGAATGTGTTTCCCTGGGATACCTTGACAAGTAGCTTAGTGTGGTATGCAGACATATAAGCACATAATTTTTTAAAACATACAATGGTTAAAGTATGTATTAATGTAAAATATAGCAATACAGAGGAGGAAGGAAATAATAATTCTACCTGGGTAGAAGGGATCGGAGAAAGTATCACAGAGCAGGTGATAACTGACCAAGGTTTTGAAGCATGAATAGGAGTTCTCCAAGCAGATGGGGCATCTGTTCCAGGTAGGGAAAATATGTTCCAGAGAGAACTGCATACTTAAGGCATAGAGGTGCAACAATATAAAAAAGCTTCATACATTTGATGATGAACATTTGAGAAAGGCTCACTAAACTTTAAAAATCAATGCCAGAAAATAACACAGGTTTCACAATTCATAGTCCATGCTAGTTTTTGACCTTCTTTTGCAGCGTTCCAAGGGCCTGGCAAGCTAGTGCCTAGGTGTTGGCTCTGTTTAAAATCAGAGCATTTTAAAAGCTCTGATCACAGAACTCCAATTTCTACTCATTCATCCAACAATACCTACAGAATATCTTCTAAATGGATCCTAGGATTGGTGCAGTGGCTCACACCTGTAATCCCAATGCTCTGGGAAGCTGAATCGGGAGGACTATTGAGGCCAGGAGTTTGAGACTAGCCTGAGCATCATGGTGAGACCCCATTTCTAAAAAAAAAAAAAAAAAAATTGAAATTAAAAAAAATTAGCCAGACATGGTGGTACATGCCTGTATTCCCAGAGACTTAAGATGCTGAGGGAGGAGGGTTGCTTGAGCCTAGGAGTTCTGGGGTGCAATGAGCTATGATGCCACCATTGCACTCCAGCCTGGGCAACAGAGCAAGATGCCATCTCTAAAAAATAAATAAATAAAAATAGATGGATTCCAAATATACGAACTAGAACATTGTGGATACAGTGACACCCCTGGGCCAGCCTAATCCCCAAGGTGACAGACAGGGCTGAAGAGAGCCCAGGCTTCACTGGGAAGACCACTGTATTTTGCATGGTCAGGAAACTGCACTTTGTTCTAAGATCTTGAAAGATTTTACTCTGATATAATTGGGTGTGCATTTTAGGGAGCTGACTCCGGAGGCAGTGTAGGGATGGACTTGGAAGGAGAGCCAGTCCTAGAAGATGCTCCCAGCAATCCAAGGGAGCATCACCCAGCACTCCTGGAAGTCTTCCAGAAGAAAGAGAAACATCAGTCTGCCCAAAGAATCCAGCCTAATGCTCCCAGCAGCATGATTTATAATAGCCAGAAACTGGAAACAGCCCAAATGGCCTTCAACTGGTGAATGGGTAAAACAAACGTGGTAGATCCATGCAATGGAATACTATGTACCAACAAAAAAAGAACAAACTACTGATACATGTTACAACCTGGATGGACCTCAAGAACATGGTGCAAGCCAGGCACGGTGGCAGGCACCTCCAGTCCCAGGAGGTTTGCTTGAGCCCAGGAGTTCAAGGCTGCAGTGAGCTACGATGACACCACTGCACTCCAGCCTGGGCAACACAGCAAGACCCCATCTCTAAACACCATTTTTTAAAAAAAAACCCAGGATGCTAAGTGAAAGAAGCCAGTCAGGAAAGACCACATATTGTACTGTTCCATGTACGTGCAATGTTTGGAAAAGGCAAATCTACGGAGACAGAAAGTGTGCCCGCCTGTGGCAGGGAGTGGGGGCGGGGACTAACGGCACCTGAGCATGAGGGAACTTTCTGGAGTGATGGACATGTTCTAAAACTGGATTGCAGCGATGGCTACACAACTCCATACATTTATTAATAATCACGGAAGTGACATGGATGTCTCGTATCATGCTTAGGTCAGGGCTTTGGTGTGCCCATCACCGGAATAGTGTTCGTTGTACCCAGCAGGTAAGTTTTTACCCCCTCTCCCCCTTCTTGGTTTCTCGTGTCCCTTACATCGTTTTGTGCCCGTGTGTACCCATCTATTAGCTGCCACTTATCAGTCACTTCGGTGAATTTTAATAAATGTATGGAGCTGTGTAACCATCACTGCATTTTCCCTCCATGACATCTCATCCAGGCCACCCTCGCTGTGGGAGTGACAGCCTGGGGGCAGATGGGCGGAGCAGCCTCCCACTGCAGCGTCCTGAGTTTTCTGGTCCAGCGGTGCCGGGTGGATGCACTTGGATCCCCGCCAACCCTGCAGGAGGCAGCCTGGCTGGACCCAGTCACCTGCCACCGTCCTCCCGGCAACACCCGCCTCTGCGCAGAGTCCCTCAGTGGTCCATGGGGCCATCCGCTCGTCGGACAAATATTTACCTAACACCTGCTGTGCAAGCCGCATGCCCAGCTAAGCGCTGCTCTGGGAGGACAAACAGGTATCCCACAAGATGGTTCAGGGCCACCGAGAGTTTCTGCTCCATTTGGGGGACAAAATGTCCACAGAACTGCTCTTCCCTTTGCCTCCCCTCTCATGCCAGCAGGACCCTCAGCTGTCATCCAGAGGTCCAAGCGAGGAGGGCCAGAAAGGGACTGTGTGCCCAGTGCTGAGCCTGAAGGTGACATGGCCACCCTGCTGGGTTCGAATCCCAGCTTTGTTGCTTATCAACTATAGGATCTTGGCTCAAGTTATTTAAATGTTCTTAGTCTGTTTTTCATGGCTTATAATAGAACAGCTGACACTGGGTACTTTGTAAAGAAGAGAAATTTATTTCTTATACTATGGAGGCTGGGAAGCCCGAGGTTGAGGGGCAGAATCGGGTGGGGACTCTCTGCAAAGTCACACGACAGGGGGCCAAGTGCATTCATGTGCTAGCACAGGTCTCTGTTCCTTTTTTTTTTTTTTTTTTAAGACAGGGTCTCACTTTGTTGCCCAGGCTAGAGTGAGTGCCGTGACGTCAGCCTAGCTCACAGCAACCTCAAACTCCTGGGCTCAAGCAATCCTGCTGCCTCAGCCTCCCGAGTAGCTGGGACTACAGGCATGTGCCACCATGCCCAGCTGATTTTTTCTATATATATTAATTGTCCAATTAATATAGTTGTCTATTTTCTATTTATAGTAGAGATGGGATCTCGCTCTTGCTCAGGCTGGTTTCGAACTTCTGACCTCAAGCAATCCTCCCAGCTCGGCGTCCCAGAGGGCTAAGATTACAGGCATGAGCCACCGCACCCGGCCTCTGTTCCTTTTCTTATAAAGCCATCGGTTCTTCTCCCGAGATAACCCATGAATCCAGCTGCCCACCGGTGGATGAATCCATTCCTGAGGACAGGGCCCTGGTGACCCACCTCCCAATACTGCCACGATGGGGACTAAATTCCAACATGAGTTGTGGAGGGGACAAATACTCAAACCATAGCATGTTCCGTGCCTCATTCTTTCCATCTCTAAAATGGGAATTACAGTCCCTCCTTCAGCGGGTAGGGTGAGGATTGGAAGGAATCATGCAAGCTTAGAACAGCACTTGGGAAAGGTTAGTTCTCATCGTCTTCATCCCCATCACTGCTATTAATATATCCCTAGAAGCTCCACATCCCCCTCTACCCCACACCCCGACACCACGTGCTGAAGATTTCCTTCGTGTTTCTCTCGCGTCTATGTCCTCTTCCCCCGCTGACGACAGCTGAGGTCTGGGAGAGGCAGCCTCGAGTTTCCAGTGGTCGCAAAACGGTCATTCTCCTGACCAGGCTGCTGTCTCCAGGCTCTGCCTCGACCCAAGTCGCACCCAGCATTCCTGCCCTTGAAACGGTCTTTGCCTGCAGCCTCCCGATGACCACAGCTGTGCACAAAGATGTTCATCGCGCTGTTATTTACAACAGGAAAAAGAATTAGAAACCACCCGAAATGTTCAGCAACAGAAAGCTGCTTAAATAAATTATGGAGTGCACACACAGTGAAGTTCTATACAGGTTTCGGAAACCTCATTTTAGGAAAGCGTTTAGTGGCATAAAGAGCCATATCATTAAGTGAAAATAAGCTGTTTACAAAACCTTACGTAGTACAGTCCCAACTTCATTTTATAGACACGCACAGGGAGAAAAAGAGAACAACTATTAACAGAGCTTATCTCTAAGTGGTATTTGATGATCCAGAAAGATATTAAATTCAAAGTAAAAACTGCTGAGGATGCACCTTCGCCCTTAGGGTAAGTCCAGACACTGATCGAAGATTTCAGGGTCCAGATGTGGCCTCAGCCTGGGTCTTTCTGCCTGAGACTCCCGCAGCCCTCTCTCCTGCTCACCAACACACTGGTCACTCTCCCCTGTCCCTCACCCTGCTGTGACGTAACAGAGATGCTCTTCCCTGCTCTGTATCCTCGCCTCCCAGCACCCCACCTGCCTGCCCTGGTCCCCGGTGGCGTGAATCAGCCCCTAGCTGTGCTCTCCCAGCACTCGGTTCTTACCCTCTAGTGCACCTCTGGCCTTGCGAGCTGCCGAGATTTGCTTACGTGTCTGTCTCCTGCACGAAACCATGAGCCCCGTAAGAGACGGCGACTGCCTCTTACCGTCAGACCCCAGCACAGCTCCTGGCACGTCACAGGTGCTCAGGAAAGGCCTCTTGTCTTGGTATCTTGGGTAACCCAATTATAAGCCAGGCATACATGCAAGGAGTATGGTGTCAGATTCAAGCAAATGCCATCTTGTAACCTAAAGTCGTTAAAAAATATAAATTCAATCTTTGCTGGCACTTCTTGAACAACATTAAAGAGGATCTGAGTAATAAACCGCGGCAGCTTTTCAAAAATCTCTCCCTCCCTTTCTCTCTCTCTCTCTCTGTCTCTCTTGTTCTCTTCTCTCCAGTGCTCTTAGATCTGCAGCTGCTCCAGGCTCCAAATCCCTGCTCTCAACGCTCTCTGAAGTCTCAGCCCACTCACCTTTCCTGTCCTTTCCTGCCCTGTTTCCTGAGTTTCTCCACTCATTGTCCCAATTTGGTATCTCAGAAGCCCAGAAACCAGGCTAGAAGAGGCAGACCTCTCCTAAGAAGGTGAAAGAGACGGCACAGACACGATTGCCCCCTAGCCTGGGGCTGGAGGTGAAAGGGCACATGGTCCTTTCTAGTCCCCAGTCCCGGGAATGCATGTCATGGTGTGCTGAGGTAGAGGCAAGTGCGATGCTGGCTTAGAAATGAGCTGCAGGACACGCAGACTGGCCAAGGCCATGGCCGGCCACGCCCCTCCAAGAGCTGATGCTCCTGTGAGGGGTCCACGTTTCCTGCCACGTGGAGGGCGCTGCCCTTGGTCTTGGCACCCATTCCTCCCAGGGCAAGAGAGGCAACCTGGGGGAGACTGAGCGTACCTAACCCAGCCCCTCCCCTCCCTTCCTTTTGGGGCTGTTCTTCTTCCAGTTGGGGGTTTCCAGAGGCAGCTCCACCTCAGGAGTGGGGAGGCCCACGCTGGCCCCACCTAGACCTGGGCAGGTACCCCTGCCCGTTTCCATTGTGGGATGTCCATTTATTTGCTCTCAGCTTGAAGCCTCCTTATTCAATGTCAGCTTTCTTAGTAAGAAGGAGAATGTTCTAGTCCTCTGTCCACTAACAGTTCCCTTATTTCTCAGTTGACTGGAGCCCGTGTAGGGACGAGGGATGCTATTCAAGGTCTCAAACCCCAGCACCTCCCCGCTAGGGGCAAGTCCGATGCACGTCGTCTACGCTTTCTCACTTTCTTTGCTGAGCTGTGCAGTTGTTAGTTGCAACCGTCCCTCCCTGCAGCGACCCTCACCGTCTCTGTCTCTGGGCATCGCACTCATTAGGAGATGCTAAAAGCTTCCTCTCCCCCTTCTCTCAGTCGGCCTTTGCTCGTCTTCCTGCTGGAGTTCAAATCCGACTCTTCCTAACGCCGTCTGAGGTGAGACAAATGAGTCCCTCTGAGCCCTGGTCCCTGCACCTCACACAGCATAGTTCAGTAGCGCTCTCTTCTCACATGTGCCTCGAGGGTTAGACCGGATAATCTGCGAAGCTCCCGGGAAATTCCAAAATGCTTCACCAACGTCAGGTCCCCTGCCCCATGCCCCTACGACTATGACGCATCCATCCTTCTTACGTGGGAGCAGAAGGGTTAGATACAACTGTTTTCCAGTGTGAATGTTCTCTTCCTAGGACGGCACCATAAATCGGAGGAGCTCTTTGGAGGTTGGGGAGGGGGCACCTTATACTGGTGCTTTTGAGGAAACCCTTTCAAATTGCTCACCTACAAGATGACGTTCTTCTCTTAACCAGCACGCAAGGAGCTTGGAGGTTATTTGGGTGCCAAGATGATTTGCTCTGAGTTTGCTGCAATATACTCTAACCAAGATGCAAGGGTCATTTTGTTTAGTCATTTAAGCATCAAACAACCTGGTTTCCTGGATTGATCTCGAGGCAGCAAGGAGATTTGAAGACCATACTGCAGACTGGTCCTGTGAGTAGAGAAAATGAATTCACTTCCACTGGCCAATACACTGGAAATACATTGAGCCTACTTTTCCCATAAAGTGAAAGTTCCCCTTACTCTCAGTGCTGCCAACATTCTGTTCCTGGGTCTTAAAAATAATCTACAATAGTTCTAGTGTCATTTGGGGGAAGCTTTGATATACATTGCCCATTCACGTTGGACCCTGTCGTGCCTAGAAGTGTGTTTTAACAAGCCGTGTGCTGGTAAGTATTTTCTGGCTCTCTAGAAAAAAATGTGTGTTTTTATATGTGTACATAAATATCAGTTTTGCTGATACAGAGGATGGATAGCACACAATTTGCAAATAATAATAAGTTATGTTAATAAACTACTCTTTATTGTAAATTCCGTATAGCCAACTGATTCTCACAGAATAATTTTGCTCATTTTTTACTGAATTCTTGATCTGTAGCCAGCCTATTACTGCTATTCAACCGGGTCTTGGAAAAACCGCACCATTAATAACTGCTTGATCACTATCCAATGATGTAAGCAAAGAAGTTGCTTGCATCATTAGCTACTGAGTATAGCTCCAACATGAATGTCGATTGATCTCTTCATCTGCATTAGAGAGTAAAACAACAAAGATATAAATTTGAGCAACTTCTTTACTAAACTACATTACAGTTTTCAAACACTAGAATATTTCCTCAATTTTTTTTGTGCTAATCACAGTGACAGCTACAGACACAACATATTTTTCAGTTTAACTGGCACTATGAATATTTTCTCTGTCCCTTTCTTCACTCCATATAATTTTGATTTATTTTTTTAGAGACAAGATCTTGCTTTGTTGCCCAGGCTGGAATGCAGTAGCATGATCATAGCTCACTGCAACCTTGAACTCCTGGCTCAAGTGATCCTCCCACCTCAGCCTTCCTAGTAGCTAGGACTACAGCCACATGCCACCACACCTGGGTAATTGTTTTTTTTTGTTTGTTTGTTTGTTTGTTTGTAGAGACAGGGCCTTGCTATGTTGCTCAGGCTAGTCTCAAACCTCTGACCTCAAGTGATGCTCTTGCCTCCACCTCCCAAACTGCTGGGATTTCAGGTGTGAGCCACTGCACCCAGCCTCATATAATTTTTAAAAGAACAATATATTAAGCCCCAATTTGTAGCGTTTGCCAATTTCGGTAGTGTAAATACTCCCACCGTGACTGATTTCAGGCTGCCAATGTGACATCACAGAGCTCAGAGATGGGAAGAGATGTGGGCGGCTCACCATTTAACAGAACTTCTACCACACAGATACACAGATATAAATACTCCAAGAGTATAGACAATAGTGAAAGTAGCAAAATAATTAGGAAATGGTGAGTTTTGAGTAATTATTACCTTTTCTATTATTTCCATTTTTACCATTTTAATGTGCACAATTCAGCATCATGAAGTATTAATATATTGACAGTGTTGTGCAGCCATCACCACTATTTAGCTCCAGAACTTTTTTGTTACTCCAAACGGAAACCCCTTACCCATTAACCAGTCATTCCCCATCCCCTTTCCTCTGGCAACCACTAATGCACTTTCTGTCTCTGTGGATGCTTACATGGAATCCTACGTGGAATCCTACAATAGGTGGCCTTTTGTATCTGGGTTCTTTCGCTGAGTATAATGATTTTGCAGTTCATGCATATTGCCGCATGTATCAAACCTTCATTTGTTTTTATGGCTGAGTAATATTCCATCATATTCATCTATCTGTTGATGGACATTTGGGTTGTTTCCACCTCTTGGCTATCGTAAATAGCGCTGCTATGAACATTTGCGATTACCTTCATTTTTAATATAATTCAGTTAATTGTAACTTTACACAATTTAATTTTTAATAACAGCTGTGTGTACCAACCGACTTGCAGAATTCCCGAACATCTGATGATTGGCTCATAGGAAGGGCCGAGTCGGCCCCAGCACAGCCCTGGTTGTCACCATCCATACAGCTCCAGGCTGATGACAAAGCCATGAACTATGAGTCAGCAGATCCGTGCTCTGGGGCCAGTGCAGCCTCTAACACACTTTGTCATTTTGAGCAAATCACTAACCTCTCTCGTCTTCGGTCTCATTTCTAAAATAAGGCTGCTGAGCTGATGATGCGTCATGTCCCTTTCTGGGCAACCTTCTCTCTGATAAGTGGCCGTGCTGGGTCAACAGATGAAGCAAGCTCACATTAACTCACCACCAGCAGTCAGAGAGCGGCCACTTGCCATTCTTCTACAGTGTGGGCTCATTTGTTCCGTCCCCATGAGGACGTGTTTGGTGGTCTCCCCCCACCCCTTCCGCTCTTCTCTTCCCAACAGCTCTCCTGTTGCCCCACCCCCACCCCAACCTCCCCTGCTTTTCAGCTATACCAAGTCCCACTTTTCCTTGCATTGGCAATTAAGACAGTCTCTCCACTTCTGCGACACCCCATCACGGCAGTCCCTATACCTATCCTGATAGTTCAGAATAAAGTCTGTCTTACTGCTTTAAAAGTGTCATGAATACTTACTTTTTCTTTAACAGACCCCAACTATCGCCAGATGATTGGTTCAGGCCCTAACACACGACCCAGTCGGCTCCAAGAAGATGCAAGCAGCTGTTTTGAGGTGCTTCAGAGAAAGAGAAAGAGAAATTACTTTTCCTCTGCGGAGATGCTGTGGCATGGTGGTACAACGCTCATAGCTTATGAGGCTACTTTGTGATCACAGTAGGCACTTATTGGCTGGGCGCGGTGGCTCAAGCCTGTAATCCTAGCACTCTGGGAGGCCGACGTGGGCGGATCATTTGAGCTCAGGAGTTCGAGACCAGCCTGAGCAAGAGCCAGACCCCGTCTCCACTAAAAAAAAAAAAAAAAAAAATAGAAAGAAATTAGCTGGACAACTAAAAAATATATATATATAAAGAATTAGCAGGTTGTGGTGGCACATGCCTGTAGTCCCACCTACTCGGGAGGCTGAGGCAGGAGGATCGCTTGAGCCCAGGAGTTTGAGGTTGCTGTGAGCTAAGCTGACGCCACACCACTCTAGCACAGGCAACAGAGTGAGACTCTGTCTCAAAAAACAAAACAGTAAGCACTTATTAAGCACCAACTGTGTGCATGCAGGGCCTTGAACGAGTGTGGAGCCTGTGGACAAATCCGAGAGCAGCAGAGTGAAGCCCACAGCGGGAAGCTGTGCAGCTGCTCTGCATGTCCCAGTGACATGAGCGATGTAGTCCCGGTTTTCACTTAAGCCAATTTGAAGTTCAAATTTTCTGTCTCTTACGGCTGGAAAAACAACAGCAACCGCAAACAATAGATGCCACCTCCACGAGAATCAGCAGTGTGGCTATCATTTCAATCACAGACCCTATTCGATGCACTCACAACTGAGTGGCTTTGATTAGCAAAGGCCCAGGGAACCGTGGGAACACTGGGCTCACCCAGCCAAGGTGCATGCTGCAAGACGGACAGCTGAAAGTGTCACCTTTGGATCCTGCAGAATAGTAAACAATATATTTGTTCTTTGTCCCTGGTTCCTAGCACAGAGCTCCTAAAACCTTTGGAATTTGTTGCGTGATAGGAGCGTCTTTTGTCACCCTTAAAGAACCCCCCTCTGGATCACATCTGAGTTTATGCCAATGAGGTGGCTAGGGGTAGGGGTGGTAGCCTCGATTTGGGACTAATCTATAAAAAGTCCCAAATAATGAGATTCACACAGCTTCTGGATTAGTGAACACCTGGACTTGCTGGGAGGGTGGCGTGCCCAGAGTGGGCACGGAAGTGTGGGGCACCCCCACCCCTGCACACCTTACCCAATGCACCTCTTCTATTTGGCCAGTCCTGAGTAGCCTCTGTCATCCAAAAGACCAACAGGATGGCGCAACAGGAGAAAGGAGAGCTTTCTGGGCTATACCAGTTTGCAAACTGGGAAGGGACAGTCCCTAGTGCAGACCAGAGGTGCCCTCTCTTTGCAGAGGGGAAGGACAAATCCGGTTTTATGACCCAAAGGGAAGGCATCATACATATTCAGCAGGTTTAAGGGGGAAGTTAGACATATTTATGAGGGGAGCAGAGTGCCTGTTTAGTGGGTAAGCATGTATGCAACATACACCCCACGTTCACACTGAGGCAGGGTTTTAGCATTAAAATGGGGTTGAATCTGGCTCTTTACATCCAAAGGTGAACTATAGGACACAAGCAGCCGCCACTCGCTGGCTGGAACTGGCTGAAGGTCTGCAGATGCTTATCAGGAAAGAATGTTTGTGCAGCCTCTGTCCAATCAGAGTTGCAGGGGTCTGGGTGGAAATCACCCTGTAGCTGCTTTTATTAGGGAGCTCAGCAAGGGTGTGGCTCTTCTTATAGCCACAGGAATTTAGAAATTTGCCTTGCCCACCAGGCCCTGAACCCTCCATTTACAGGTAACTTTGTTTCCTTAACCTGAGGGTCTTCCTTGATAGAGGGGTGTTTGTTTTGCTCTCTCAGGTCACCTATTCTTCGTATGTGGTAGACATATAAAGAATGTTTACTCATAGACCTAAGTAAAGTGTTTTTCCAGGTTCTGTGAGTTATTCTAGCAAATGATTGACCCTGAGTGGGGGGTCATGGGAGCCCCAGATTTACAGCCAGTTGTTCAGAATTATGTATGACCTGAGACTTACAACTTGTGCATACAGAAGGTGCTCAGTCAATGCTTACTGACTGATGTGGTTCTTCACACGCATCATTGGCTCATTTTGCTGAATCTCTTCCTTTGGTCGTTTTGGAGGTCTGCTCTACCTGCACTCGGGGCCGTGAACCAGCTGCAGACCAGATATTTAGGAGGCAGTGGAAGGCACAGCTCTGAGACATGGGCGTCAGTCCTTGGTTCCCAGTAGTCCTTAGACTCTAATGCCGGCGTGGTTGGCTCAGCCTGGAAATGCTCTTAATCATCAGTGGGTTTCAGGGGAAGCACTTCGGCAGAGCCGCTCAAACCAGAGCTCTGAGCTCTGATCGTGCCACTGCACTCTAGCCTGGGTGAGAGAGCAAGACCACGTCTCTGAAAAAAAATATATATATATTTTTAATCTATTGGCTTTTGTAATCTGTTGGCTTTTAATCTGTTGACTTGGAAGCTCTCCAGCGTCTCGCAAGAGGCCGGCCGTCTGATTCTTTAGGGAGCAAATGACCTCAGCAGAGGGTGGATTTTATCTCCTGAAAGGATGAGAAGAGGAGAGTGGGAATGCCTCATTGGAAGTGACATCTAATTACCAATTTCCCACCCTGCTTCCAGGCCCCACAAAGCGGAGTCCTTCTAGGCACCTGGTCTACCCTTCACCTCCAAATGCAAAGCACACAGGCACAGAGAGTGAATCAGGGGCCTTTTCTCAGCTCAATCAAGGGCAGAAAATGAGTTCTGCATCGGGATGTTCCATTTCCACTCCTGATTAGTTATTCGGGAGCTGTTGATGGGCGACACTTGCCTCGGACTCGTGGTGACTTTTAATATCCCAGAGCGCAGAACCTAAGGAGGGAGTCCTCCGCACAGAATGACAAGGCGTATTGGAGGAAAAAAATAAAATTGCTGCCTTGAAAACAGGAATGCATCTTAGATGAGAAAACACCTTGCATACGACACTCTCAGCAAAGAAATTTTGAGGTGACTGCTTCTGAGAAGTCATAGCAATGGACAGGCAGCTATTTTGCCAAATGATGCCCATCACCTGGTTATAAGGAATAAATTAACAGAAAGAAAGTGAGAGGACTCTCGATCTCATCTGGGATATACATGCCCCTCACTTTAGGGAGGAGATGAGTTCTTGAAAAGTTAACTGCAAATTGGAATTTTTATAGCCCAAATCATTTTTCCATTACTTTCCTTGCAAAAATGGGTCCTCAGAATATTCTTAGGTTCTGGGATGTAATAAAAGCACAGCTCAGACTGTGGCAAATGATCTTGTAACATTATCACTTTTATAGCTGGAACTGACCATTTCCTTAAATTAAAAAGATCACATTCTGAAAAAATTGAAAAACATGCAATAAAATAGCTAGGGTTATGTCTCTATGTGGTACAATAGTTTCAATGTCAACAACCGTTTACTGGGTGGTTTCTAAGTTTGGGGCACCTTCAGGCATTTTCACATGATCTCTAATTTAACTCCCACCACGATTCTGTGAGCTAGATATTACTTCCTTTTTTAGTTTTTTTGGATGCAATAAAAAAGTTTAGGAAAATTAAGTAACTTATCCGTGCTCATGAACTAGAGGTGGCATAGCTGGAATTTGAACCCAAGTCTGAGCAACTCTAGGTCTGGTGTATGTCCCCCTCCACCACAGGCTCCCTGGCTTAAAGGTTTGATGTAAGAAACCAACAAATAATAACCCCAACAGCACCAACCTCAGCTGCTAAATTAAACAGAATGAAACAGCTCCAGTTCCTAACATGTTCCCATGCAAGAGTCCTGTAGCAGGATGAGAAATTATTCACACCCTTTGCTATCCAGAACTCAGGTCCAAACCATTTATGAAATCTGTCGGCTTACTGCCAAGGCATGGTGGCTCGAGCCCAGACTCCCAGCTACTCAGGAGGCTGAGGCAGGAGGATCGCCTGGGCCTGGGAGTTCAAGGCTGCAGTGAGCTCTGAGCTCTGATCCTGCCACTGCACTCTAGCCTGGGTGAGAGAGCAAGACCATGTCTCTGAAAAAATATATATATTTTTTTAATCTGTTGGCTTTTGTAACAGCGTGGGGTAGGCCGAATGGGTGATAAGACAAAGACCCAACTACTCAAAGCCAAACTGGAAAGGACCAAGAGGGGAGAACGTCTGTAGAACCAGATCAGGAAAGAAAGAGCTCAATTGCTAAAACTGAAGACACAAAGAGTCTAGGGAGCCCAAGCTGGTGAATTCAGTCATTGGTTTCTCTAAGGACGGCAGGATTCCTGTTTGGCAGCTGTGTGGTGGCCAGCCTCCAACGTGGCCCCCCAGGGGTCCCTTCCGCCCCTGGTGTTCATACCCATGTGTAGCCCCCACCCTAATGGCCTATAAAATGACTGCAACTTCTCTCCCTCTCTCTCCTCTATGAAGAAGCCCACACAGCAAAGAGCTGAGCCTCCTCCAACAACCACCCAAGTGAGCTTGGAAGCAAATTCTCCAGCCCAGACGACTGTAGCTCCTTCCAGATGTCTTAGTTGCAGCCCCCAGAGAGATCCTAAGCTGGAACCACCCAGGGGAGCTGCTCGCAGATTCCTGACCCACAGAACCTGTGAGATAAGAAATGCAATTTTAAGCTGCTAAATTCGGGGGACATTTGTTACACAGCCATATCTAACTAGTGCAAGTTATTTTCGTTCCTGTTGTTGGCAATGAACCATATCTGGCCAGGTTGTACCCATCCTTGATAATTTCTGTCCTCCTTCCTCCAGCTCATTTTACCCTCTCACCCCCTTTATGTTGAATAACTCCATGAAGGCTGTCAATCTCAACTGAGGGCCACTGCATGCAAGAGCCCAATCGGCCACTGCACAACTGCAGGAGACAGTAGTTAGCGTGAGTAGCGCCCCCTGGAGGTGTGCCGTATACCACCTGCTCGTTTCTGTGTGGCAGCCCAGCCAACACTGCATCAGGAAAAATGCCCAATGCCAATTTTTTCTGCAGGACGGAGCAAATGGGGCAGATCCTCCCAAGATCACAGACAAGAGAGATGGTGCTAAGAGGTGCTAAGAGGGTTAGTTTTCACTGGGGCTGGCCAACCCATCTTAAGGTTGCAGGCAAAGCCCGAAAGTTTAGGTCATTATCTTTCTTCCTGTCTCAGGAAGGGACCTGCAGGCATCTCAGGGTGGTGGTCGTGAGTTGAACACTGGATTTGGACAGACAGGTTCAGTCCCAGCTGGCCGTGCGTTCATCGCTGGGTGACTCTGCATGTGGCTTCACCTGCCTCCAGCACTTGGATTCCTCAGCTGTCAAATGGAGATAATAATACCTCCCCCCCAGGGAGTAGCAAAACAGCAGCAATTTTTATTCACCTTCGCCTGCCCCCCTAAGTGGGCCTCACACTCTGCTTGTTGCGGAGTGAATGATCAGCAAGGATTTCTCAAATTAATTCAGCAAGAGGCTCCATTTCTCTAAGAGGGAGACAGTCCTGCCCTCTGGTTCTGGGTAAATCAACCACCGGCACCCGTGATAATAACGAAGCCACATTTCTAACTGAGCGACACAAAGCACACTGTACCATTTGAACCATTTGTCTCACAAGCCATGGCCTTAGTTGAGTCATTTTTTTCCATGTTGGAGAAATTTCAGAAGAAACCTCATCCGTTAGCAAAACACAGCCTCAGAGGCGGCAGCTGTGCAGTTCCACACGTCCTCCAAGGCCTCCGCTGCAGGAAAATTCTAGCCTGGGGACGACATGCAAACACTTAGCCAATACCTTAAGCCTGACTTAACTCACATCTCACTGCTGAGTGCCCGGACGCTGTAAACAGCCCTGCCTAGAGGTCCAGCCCTCTCCTTGTCTCCAGATCCCGTCTTGAGAGGCTCCAAGTAGGAGAGAAAATGCCAGTCGTTTCTTCTCTGGCTTCAGGACTCAGGTCGGATCCACCACTGACGTCAGAGAGGAATCTGCTCCCCTCCCTGGCTCTGGTCTAGAATTTCACAGCTGGCCCACGTCAGGAAGGTCGTGCCACGCAACGGGACACACAGAGCACGGCCGCGAGGGAGGGACCTGCCTCTCCTGGGCCTGCACAACGGTGTTGAGCACAGATTTTAAAAGAAAATAAAACGGCCCAGCTCTCTGGTCCATTAGAGGAAAAAGAAGCTGGGATAATAAAAAAACAAACAAAACCCACCACCCAAGCAGCAAACTCAAACATCACCCGCCTTTCCTCCTCCTGTGTTTCTGACGATGGTGCTCACTGGCCTCTGGGCGGTCAGTGGGCGTTTGTTCTGGGGACGGCTGTCAGCGGCCCGGGATAAGAACCTCCCGAGGGGCCCACACGCAGGTAACGCTGTGAATGCCACTGCGAGTGAGCAGGCCCTACTCCAGACGATGAAGTGGCTGTTGATTGCATCTGGAGAGGACAACTGTTCCATGGAAGGTTCTCTGGTCACTCCTTAGCTCAGGGCTCAGGCCCCCTGTCCCATCAGCTTCGCCCACTCCCCCCTCCCAAGTCCTGTCTCCTTCCCTCCGCTGACCCGCACCAGGCGCCATCAGGGCCGCCAGCTCTGGGCTTTGAGCCGGGACACAGCCGTAGGCAGGTGGACAAGAACAAGAGGAGCCAGACAGCAAACAAGGAGAGAACTAAAGGAGGAGGTCACGTCAGGCAGAGCTGGTGTGGTGAGGAGGATAAAGTGGTTCCAGGACCAACAGAGACCAGTGTGGCTCTGTTGGACAGGTGGCCAGGGACAGCCTTTCTGAGGAAGGTGACATTTGAACCAAGAAGACTTGGCTGATTGAAGGGGCCAGGCCCGAAAAGAATGGGTACAAGTGGGACCCACAGCATGTGCGCAGGACCCAGCGCAAAATTAAAATGATTAAAATTCGGGGCCTCATTCAAAAATCATTAAGAATTTCCAGGCCGGGCGAGGTGGCTCACGCCTGTAATCCTAGCACTCTGGGAGGCCGAGGCAGGCAGATTGCTCGAGGTCAGGGGTTCAAAATCAGCCTGAGCAAGAGCGACACCCCGTCTCTACTAAAAATAGAAAGAAATTAATTGTCCAACTAATATATATAGAAAAAATTAGCCAGGCATGGTGGTGCATGCCTGTAGTCCCAGCTACTCGGGAGGCTGAGGCAGCAGGATTGCTTGAGCCCAGGAGTTTGAGGTTGCTGTGAGCTAGGCTGACGCCATGGCACTCACTATAGCCTGGGCAACAAAGTGAGACTCTGTCTCAAAAAAAAAAAGAATTTCCAGATGGCTTAGTCAGGCATGGTGGCAGGCACTGGTAGTCCCAGCTACTCAGGAGGCTGAGGCAGGAGTATATTTTGAGCCCA